GCTTTGAAAATATTTAGAAAGTTTTAGGTTAGTCTTTTGTTTAGTTACTTACTACCCAAGTTTTGTGTTTAAACCTTACAGACAAGAGAATTTTGCTCTTTGTGCACTTATTTAATCATTAAATATTTTAGAAAGATGATAGGAAATTTCAGTATTTATGGCATAACCAGAGAGGATTAAATTAAACTTCAAGATCCAGGGAAGGCTGCTTTTAAATCTTAACAGAAGTGTCTCTTAAAAAAAAAACTCCAAACAAACCTACCAGAAAAATCCCACACTTTTTTCTCTGTAAGGTGATTAATAGGTTTTCATTAAGAAGATACAAGAATAAGGGAATTTGTGAAAACTTTCACAGCATGATTGTCCTGATTTCAGAATGTTACATGATAAATGTAAATATTTACTGATTTATACAATATTAAAATAGGTTGAAATTAATCATACAGTTCATGCTTCAGAGTAATTGTTAAAGATGTCTAGGGATTCAGCTTTAATACAGTAACTCTTGAGTATGATCTCAAGGCCATTCTTTAATCAGGAGGCCATTCTTCTTAATTTTTCTTCAGATTTTAAAAATCTGTATGGACCTAGCATAATGCCTAGCGTAATGCCAATTCTGTCTAGTGAGCCTCTAGCAAATAACTTTGGAAAGGTGTTGCTTCTTATGAATCAGAAAGTATTAATAGTGTCTAGGGTTATCTCGGGGTGAAAGATTTGGATAGGATGTTGTCCTATTGACAATACAGCCTTATGGAAGTCAACCTTGTATTTTGAAGGAAAGAGATAGCTGAATTGGTGGTGGATGGAACTAACTCAAAGAACATTTAGGGCACTAAATGAATACAGTGCTGTTTGTGTCTTCTAAAGCTGTTTATTAAAAGAAGTTTGGAAAGTTTCAGTTGGAGGAGGTTGGAGTTGGCATGATTTTTATGGAATACTGTACTGTTGTCAACATTGTTTCTCAAGTCTTCAACTCTAGAAACAGTATACTTTGCTTCCACCTTATTATAAATATCCTGCTAGTTTTGAAACATTAATAAAAGTAGGTTTAATATTCAGCCTTCAGTTTCCAATAAAGGGCTCATAATAGCAGTGTAATTTTTGCAAACTTTTTTGCTTAAAGTTGTAGATAAACCTTGCTATAAACTACTCAGTAGATTTGCTAGAAAAGCTTGTGGTTGAGTGCTATGTATGCTTGCCTTTTTGCTTTCACCTAGAATCCAGGGCCATTACTTTCTGTAACCATTTCAGTGAGCTGCCATAGTTTTCAGTCTGTACTGTCACCTGATCCAAGCATGCGCCAAAATACCCACCGTTTCTGGCTACTGTCTGCTGAATATGCTTTGCAAACCCTTAGTTCTTAAGCTTTTGCCTTAGCAAAAAACAACAACAGACACTCGTGGAGTGTACTGGACACATGCCATCCTGCTTCCCTAACTCCTCTAATTGTTTATGTAAATCCTTAGCTTTACTAAACTTGTAAATGCTACAATGGCATCCCCATGTGAAATTGTGTGGCTCATGTGTCAAAAAAGGCTGCTTGTGAAAATATTTGTCAGAAGAATATGAATGCTACACATTGCACTGCATTCAATGTTTTGTATCAATTTATTATTGCAATGTCATGGTGTTTGATTTTAATTGTAGACAATCATTTTGTGTTTTAATATGCAAAGGTAAGTTCGTGTAAATGGTAAATGTACAGTACTTGTATATAAATATACGGATTTGTATTTTTGGCCTCCTTCTGTAAGAAAAAGAATGTCTTAAGCAGGGGACCTAGTCTTCTTTATAAACACTTGTTTCTGCATGACTGATATGGAAATTTTTGAACTTGTGCAATGAGAATTTGTTGGATGTTTTGAAAAATATTGGCCATGATCCTGTTAACGCTGAAGTCAATGGCTGGAAAATTGTTCTTATCTCTAACAAGAATGAAAATGATCCATTGTATTACTGTAGTTAATAGTTTTGTTAATTCTGGTGTTGAACAGATTCTCAGAGTAAAGTGTTAAATGTTGCTGTAGCAAGACATAGTGTTGGAGCAACCTCACAACAATATGTGCTTTCCGTTGCGTTCTTGGAGATAAGTGAGAAAATTGTATTAACTCTCTTAGGAACTTGTTCCTAAGCCTTAATTTAAAGTATAAATTTTTGTGGAGGAAAGTTAAATGTTTGCATACAGCTTGGGACCCGTCACTACTTTTTCTGTTCCCCTTAAGCATATCTGTTCCATTTCAACATTTCATCCTGTTTCAGTTTTTACTGTGGCTACATACTTTTTCAGTGTCATATTCTTGTTTGTAATCTTATTCTTTATTCAACAGCACTCTCCCTGTTCATCCCCAGTCATTTCACCTGTTGCTCCCTTCCAACTCCTTCATCATGACTTTGCGTTTTCTTGCATTTTTTTGTCGTAGAAAGGTCATTGGTGACAAGTAGGAGCAGTTTTTGCAGAATGGTGCCTAAAGGTGTGAAGAGAAAAATGATGATTTAGTAAAATCGGCTTTTTTGTCTTTGTTTATGTCTAGAAAAAGTTTAGTTCTCTTTTGCATGTTTTTCTCTGAAGTACAAAAATTCACGTGACTGTTCAGTCAGTGTTTATAGCCAGCTGCCTGTGATTAAGTCTAATTGAGCAAGAATTCTTCTTCATAGTCAGTGAACCACTTTTCCGAGTATTTACACTTTTCTGTTACAGAAACAAACACGTATTGATAGCAATCTTCTTGTCAATGATTTGATGGGGAATGAGGAATTGTTCCCAAGATCCATGTCCCTTCCAACACTGAGAGTTAGTGATAACATTTACAAAATGTGCTTGTGGTCTCACATCTCCCATACAGCTCTCCATTTTGTCAGATGTTGTAGCCTTTGCCTTAAAATGGATTTCCAAAGTTGCTCCGTTCACCTACCACTGCTGCCATTAACTGGTGGCAGAAATCACAGCCTCTCATCAAGCTGAGGTGCACACACAAAAGAGAAGATATTTTGCCTCCCACTTTCCTGTACGTGTACCACAAATGGTTCTCATAGCTGAGCTTGGGTACTCAGCCCTGTGATTTGATGGGTTGTCTCTGCATGATTCTCAGCTTATGTAAGCTGGAAGGTGAGACCTTGCTTGCAACAACTCCAACCATCTGAGACAGGATTACTGTATATCATCTTGAGCATTTGATTTTTCCAGTCAGTGAAAGTGTTTAAACAGTGTTTTCATGTTGTTAAGCAGTGGAGTGCAGTGCCTTGAGGTTCTGCTAGGAGTGCATTGAAATCTGCTGAAGGTGAACTTGGATATATTGGAACATGATTGATACAGATCATTAAAATCCTTAGTCTGTTTTGTGTCTTAATGTGTATATTTTTGTCTTGATCGTGGAGAACCTTTCTAAGAACTGTCACCATAGGTTATGTTCAGTGTTCATTTCTTTAAACAAAGGTTGGATAAACTTGAATCTGCACACCCGAAGCTGCGTTAGTCAGTACAGTGCCATGAGTTGCACAAGCAGTGACATGCACGGTTAGGTATAGTTGAATATATATGCATCTGTGCTCTTTTTTTAAAATTAGAAAATTATCATTAGTTTACTTTAGAAAGCTGAAAGCCTTGTTCTAAATGAAAAGTTGAAGTAAATTAATGAATTAGTACATCTTGCTGTACAATATTTTTGTTTCAGTAAGTTTCAAAATATATGTATCTCTGCATCTTTCATTTTTGTTTGTCATGTTGTCAGAGAACTTAGTGTATGATGTAGCGTTATCATACACTATATTTATAAATATTCCTGATAGTACAAAATTGGTTCCCAATGAATCTCAGGTTTTAACAATGATATTTTAAATTATAATTCAGCTAGGAGATCTTAATAGCTAAAAGTTTGTATCTGTGCAAAGTTCAGTTGATTTCAGGGAAATTGTATAAGAATCTATCTACTGAGAACCCCATGTAGCATGGGAGGGCCTGTTGTTTGTTTTTCCCCTTACTTTACATATCAACAATTAGCATAGTTTTCATCTAAGTTCATTGGTACAGGTAAGCCATTTTGAAAGATGAAACAGTTGACAAATAATTCTAGTTGTAATCGGCAATACTCATTGGCTTCGTTTGTAAAAAGCTTGCAAGACAAGAACTTTAGTTCTGTGAAACTAATTGCTGAACAGTTAAATGGATTGCATAAATGTACTCCAGTAGCACTCTTTTTTTGCATTTTTAATGTAGTATTCAAGAAAAGCAGGTAGGATATATTTAAACATATAACCTCAAAGACAGTAAAGGTAATTAGAATCCGTTGGGGGAGGGGGAGGAAAAAGGTGCAATTACCAGGATACTGAAGCAAAAAAGCATCAACAAACACGTAGTTAAGATACATCTTGTACTTCTGAATGTTGTTAGCGTAGAATAGTTTCAAATACCTATGGCTTCTCAAAGTTTGAAGTGCTGAAATAAGGCCCACAGAGATGTGTTTGATTAGTGACACGGTCTTGAACAAGTATTTTAAAAATCTATTTAACAGAAAGGACTGCTTACAGTAGGAAAAACTGTGGGGTTATTTCAAAGATGTCAAGTGTATACCAAGGTAAAATATTACGTTATTAGTACAAATACTTTTTCATTACTACTACTACTAGTAGTTTTTCAATACTGCAGATTATCTGTGATGTTTTGTTGCAAATTTACATGCTGCTCTCATGTTGTTGGAAACTGACAGTATGGTCTTCAAGTGGGTAGAGATTGGAATAGTATCTACAGTATTTTGGTGTTATCTGTCATATGGACAACAACAAGAATGCAGTAATTTGTCAGAACCTGTTCACATGCATGATAAACAGGAAAATGAATGAAAAAGCCCCGTTAGCATTTGCTTGAAGCGTGATAGCTAGAAAATAAAAAGTGTCTGGATGCAACAAAACACTTGAATATGGAAATTTAACTTTCCAGATTAATGCATGAAGCTTTATGTTGACATAATGCAAAATAGTGAACTGATTTATACTTTGTCTTTCAGATGAACCAGAGACACGAGATGCATGGTGGGCAGAAATCAGACAAGAAATAAAATCCCATGCCAAGGCATTGGGTTGTCATGCTGTAGTGGGCTACAGTGAATCAACTAGTATTTGGTAAATCATGATGATGATTTGATTTTCAAAATGCCACGGAAAATTTATTTCATTTTCAGTGGATTAAAAATGATGAACTATTTCAGCAGAGTTGTTGGTACTGTCTAGTATATCTACTTCAGAGAGTTTGTTAATTTTCTGAGATTTCACTATTTTGCTTCTTTTTTTTTTTTCTTTTTAATATGTTTTGGTTTGGGTTTTTATCGGGTTTTAAGTTTTTCTAATGAACATTACAATTTTTATTTTTAAAAGCATATTTGCTTTTGTAGTAACAATATTAGTTTATCTATAAAGTTTTCTAAACTCAATCTACCTAAATAGTTATTTAAGACTGTTCCTAAACGTATATGTATTGCAGTTGCATTATTGGGTAACAACTGGCAGACCAGTACTTAAATGGTAGACTTCAAACTTAAGGCATGAATTCTTTACTAGGAATGTATTAATTGTAAGTCAAAGGAGAGCATGCTGCCTGATAGATCTAGAATACTTTCGGTGTAAACATCTGTATTTCTTTCTGGAAAACGCATGTCATTATTTTTATCTTTCAGTACTACAGTAGTGTTTAACATATTAAACTGCAGCTCGCCAGTAGTCTTTCTGAGGTTGAATTCTCCAGCTCTGTATCCTATTCAGACCAGAGCTCTAGTGTCTTACTGTACTATCTTCATCTAAGAAAATTCCAATCTTGTGTATTTTGGTGGGTTAATAACAAACTTTGTGAGAGGCTTCGAGATGGGGAGAAATAATTTGGGATTCGTTAACTAACTCATCCTTCTCTCTGGCCCAGGAAAAGTGGTGTCTCTTTGTAGCTCCAGAAGGTAATCTGTGAAGAGCTCCTCCTGGGGCCAAGTGTGTCTGATAGGTATCAAACAGAAAAGTGCTCTGGCCCACTAGTCATTTTGAATTGCGTTAGGAAAGTAACTGAAGCAAACTCGGACATCTGAATTTATTGTCTCTCAAGTTGATTTTGCTTAAATACTTTACAGAAAATGCACTAAGGATTTTGGTTTTTTAAAGAGAGAAGTTGGAAAAATAAGTTTCATTTTACTTTGCAATTGGTAAGTTGAAGAAGGAAATACAGAGTTATACAGCGCTTTCATGAGCACAGACTATCTGTTGGTAAAGTAGTAAGATAACCAGTTTGAAAGCCACAGCATTGATTGCTTCACATCTGTTGCTCCTTCACATTTATTGCTTCACTGCTGGTAAAAAAACCCAACAACAAAGCAAACGCTATATGTATTGATCTTTCACAAAACTTGAAAACAATTTTTGGAAGTCAAGCGCTTGTTCTAGTAGAGTAGGAAAACAGGAGAACTTATTTTACAGACAAGGCATGGTTTGTATTCCTTAGGCTGTCTTGTCTGGTTATGTCCTATCTTGCTTGGTGTATTGAAGACCATATATACCTCAGAATTGCAATGTACAAGTTGCTGAGGGATGAACTTGCATTAAAAATGGAAGATTTATTCTGTTGGCTTTCAGTTTCCTTGTAAAAAGCATGAATACTTTGTATTTTTTTTCTCCCTTAACTATGGGGAAAAAAATGTAGAGAGTATAGATAGGCAGTCAGTTACTGGGTTATCTCACACTTTCATTTTTCCTAAGGAATTTAATGTGGTTGTATTGGATCATTGATAAAATCGTTTATTAGCGTTCCCATGCTTACTTGCCAGTTCAGCTTTATTCCATGCTTAAAGAGGAAGGCTCTGTCTGTAAGTACTGGTCTGCCAGACATGTTATATATGAAAAATCATTCTGGAAAGAGAAACAACAAATTAAAAAGACACATGCATCATTCTAGAAAATGTGGGAAAGCTTTTCTCTGTATTTTTTCCAACATAGTATTTTAAATACTGAATGTTAGAGATTTGTTTCTTATTTAACAATTTCAGAAATTCTAAAAGCTCTGTGATCATAGTTCGCACTTCTGAGAGCTTTAATTCTGCTGAATCATTAATATGGTCAGTTCCTTTACATGGTACCATTGTTGCAGTTGCTCATAGTCAAATTTTACTGTTTTGCTACTTTTTATCTTCCAAGATGCACCGTTGTCAGTGTTGCATTGTAACTTCATTTTGAGAGTGAATGTGTGTAAGATGATGAGGCTCTCAACTTCCATTTTACTTTGGTAAACAATTACACCTTGGTTTTTTTGTTGTTCCTTTGCTTTTATTGGTTGTCTGGATTTCTTTGCATTATTAACTTGGTATTGAAAACCATACTTAAACCTGGTTAGCCTTTATGATGTTATAGCATATTATTCATAACATAGGGCAAAGCTCTTTAGTCTTTCTGTTCAATCTTTCTGCATCTCTTACTTATACAATGGTTTAAATACCGGAAGAGGGTTGTGTGTGAGATTTAATGGATAAAATTGCACAGATGCACAAAACTAGTAGTTATATTGAATTCATTGAGACTTTTGTACCAGCCTTTTAATCTAATAGTTTTAAATAAAAGTAGCACTAAGTAGTAGGAATTCACTTTGTTGTAATTCTTTTCTCTTATAGTGAAGAGGTCTGTATTTTGTCTGCGTCTGGCACAGCAGCTGTACTGAACCCTAGGTTTCTTCAGGATGGCACCATCGAAGGCTGTTTGGAACAAAGGTTGTCATGGCAGCCTGGCTTCTTTTCCATAGGGTCAGAGAAGGGAGAGGTTGATTTTTTTCCTCAGAGCCAAGATAGTTCTTCTCTATTAGGGTAGGTTACAGTGTTACAGTGCAGGATGCGGGACCAACCACTTTACTGCTTTTCACTAACAACAACAACAACAGAAGTATATGGAACTCTGCACCAAATTAGATATTCTGTTTTTATTTCTAACAGTCTGAATAAGGTAACACATTTGACTACTAACCACAGATTATAACTCAGTTTTTTTCTTTGCTGCTCTTCAGGTATCTTTCTCAACTTTATATCACAGTATACAAAAGTTACAGATGTATGGTAAATTACATAAGCCAAAACCTGCTGTGGCTGTAAAAATTAAGTTTCCCTTTGTTTCTGTTCTTGCAAATAAAATTTGAAGATTGAATATTGATTAACAGTTATTTTGAGGAAAAATAATTAGATTAATTAATGCTCTTGGTAATGTATTATGTGTTTGTCAGGATAGTCATCAGATATTTCAAGGGGTTATTGTAGTCATGAGTAAAGCTATTTATTACACCTTAGCACTTGCATTACTTTTCCATAATAACCCTGCCAACGTAGTATTATTTATTGTTCTTTTACTTTGTTAGCAGGAGGTCATTATCTTCTTGTGTAGATAGACTTTTGAAAACTGTAGCCAGAACAAAAATATTTGTTTCCATATAGACTATATGATGGAGAGAAAGAAATGTCATGTTCATAATGTGAAGAAAATTGCATTTTTATCAAAATACGTATTTTGTTGCTACTAAGAGTCTTGGCATAGATTAGAAATGCCAAAGGAAGGTAAAACAACTAAATGGATAAAGCTCATGTTTGAGACAAAATATATTTGCCAAAGTCTGTAATAACTAATGCTACATATCTCTCAGATTTGCTTAAGCATCTCTTCAAAATTCACAGAGAATAATTTACTGTGAAACAGTAAATTTGCAATGGTGCAGTTAGCCTATGCTTTCCTTGTTTGTATTTTTATAGTGGTCATTCCTGGATATTTATTATGGGGGAGTGAGACTTAATTGTTCTAAGTGAATAACAAGTTTTACCTAATACCTTATCTTAGGAAATAATCTTGCTATTCTTCTTACAATGTTAATATATATTGTGCTGCTTCCCAGTAGGATGGTTGGTTTGCTGTTTATGTTCTGCTTGTTAGCTTTGTGTAGGTTTTTGGACACAATCCACGTGAAAGGGACTTTTCATTGTATTTGGTACAGCAAATTCTCTCGACAACTGTTGTACCATGGACTACATTTAGAAATCATAGTGTCTAAAGCCAGCTCAGTGATGTTTTAGGTTTATATAAATCATTGGTCATTGTATGTAATTTTTTTTGATCACTGCATAACAAGTTTCAATGCAAGTTTTATTTATAGCATTTTAGCTAGTAGTGTGCAGCCTAATTTTATTCTTCTAATTCATAAAATGCAATACTTGTCACGTTGGTATAATGGAGCAGAGTATAGCTGCAGTGTATGATTTAAGTAGGTATCTGTAGGTGTTTATACACGTGTGCACATATTGATCATTGTTAATAAGATGCAGATGTTTTAAGTATGTTCTCCTTACTGTATTTTTAGAATTGAAGAAGCTTCACCACCAGGTTGTGGATTTTGCCATATACCATACGATGAATTGAACATGCCATTCCCTGCTCACCTCACTTACTGTTACAACTGCAGGAAGCAAAAAGTTCCTGATGTCCTTTTCACCACAATTGATCTTCCTGTAGAAGCAATAGTTATTGGGAAGGGATGTCTTATTCAAGCCAGGTATCTATCAAAATATTTTCTTAGTAAAGTTTTGGAGATCTTTGAAAGATTTCCTGTTGCTAAAATCTGGTATGTCATCAAACCATACTTTTTAATGTTGAATTGCTAGGAGTTAGTGACAGTGTGTTAGGGTACAGGAGGAGGACAGCCTTCTCCTCCCCATGTGTTACTTGTGATGTCTATTGACAGATTTCTGGTAACTTATCCATGTGATGGACATTTGGTAAATGTTCTACTTTTTTTTTTCTTTAATGCCTGTGGGAATTGTTGTATTTTGTCTGCCTGGGTGTAAGAGTTTTCATGCTTTAACTTGCTGTTTGGAACTGCTGACTTGGTAAGATACAGCTATTGCACTAGAAACTCAATGAATTGTTTAAGTCAGTTGTGTTAATTCTGTGCTGATGTCCATAACTGAACATCATCTCTGTAGAATTGTTGGCTATGTGTCCAGTTTATGCTGTGGTCTTTGAATTTTAATTTGGAAAAGGGAATAAGGTGGCTTACAGTGGGAAAGAAGGGAAGGGTTAGCTATGTGCAGTCTGTATGGGTAGCCAACCGCATGGATAAATAACTGCTTGGATGGTTGGGCTGAAAGGATAGTGCTTTATGGTTTGTAACCTACCTGGATGGCCATGACAAGTATAATAAAGTGTACAGTAGGACCTGTCCTGTTGAACATCTTAATGATGTGGAGGGGATGATGGACTGCAGTCTCTTCAAGTTTGACAGTCACACCACACTGAAATGAGTGGGACCAGACAATACAATACCTGTACAGTTTTGTCCTTCTCTGAGAGTAAGACAGACATCAGAAAACTACAGCAAGTTCAGTGGAGGGCCACCAAAGGAGTCAGGAGCACCTGCCCTCTGAAGAGAAGTTGCAGGTGCTGGACTTGTTCAGTCTGGAGAGAGGAAGGATTCAGAGGGACCTAGTAGCAGCTTGACACAACCTGTAAGGTGATTATGGAGCCATATAGCCAAGGTCTTCACAGTGCTGCACAGTGGGAGAGACAATGTGCCTAAGTTCAAGCAAGAGGGATTCAGGGTGGATATGAGGAAAAACCTACTTACCCATGAGGACAATCAGGCAGTGGAGCAGATTGCCTAGGAGGTTGTGCAGTCTCCATCTTTGGAGGAGTTTTCAAGACCTGACTGGATAAAGCTCTGGGCATCGTGGTCCAAGCTCAGAGTTGACCCTGCTTTGTCTGTACAGGAGGTTGGACTAGAGACCTCCTGAAGTCCCTTCTCACCTGAGTTAATGCTTGATCTGTGAGGGCCCTTGTTTTTTTCTTTGTTCCAAATTGTGCCTTGAATAACTTGTGTTAATAGGGATTTTAAAAGTTCTACTAGTAGATGTAATTTCCTCTCCTTGTACCTGAAGTGTTTAAGAGGTTTGCAGCAAGAGAAATAGATGTTTGCATTTGAGGTCTTCCTAGAGAAAGACAACTTGTAATAGCAAAGAAATGATGTTTGTCTTCAGTATTTGCTTTGACAAAAGTGAGCAGGGCAAATCGTTAAAAATTGCTGCTATGTGGTAGGAGTGTTAGTATATTTTAGTCAAACATCTAGTAGATGGTTATCTGGAATCTGTAGAAAACCTCTTTACATTGCACAGTTATTTGGTGCTGTCAGACTAGTATGACAAAAACTCTCTGTGATGCACGTTGTTTCTCTCTGATAACAGTTCTTAAGCATGCTTTAAGAAAGGACACATGACTTCATTTGGTGATTTACAAAAATACAGTATTTGTAATTTTTGTATTCTGCTTTGATAAGGAATATTTGTGAATGTTGATGAAGGTTATGTATTCTTCTGTTAAATAAGAATTTATGTTTTATGTTACCCATTTTTATTGTTAATATAAATATACAGTTCCTAATAAAAATGAAAATCAAGTCTTTCTTACTGAGACTCGGTGCCTCAGTCTGCCTTGATCTTACGGATGAAAATTTAATATTTTACAGAGTTTTAAAATAGATTAAAAAGAAACTGATTATATTAGGTTATAGAATGAGGGGAAAAAAAAAATCAAAGTACCTTATCATCACTTTCAATCTTCAGCTGCCCCTTCAAACTGTTTATCTCCTGATGTCATGTACTATTGCATGTTGACAGGTTATGCCGTCTAAAGAAGAAAGCTCAAGCTGAAGCAAATGCAACATCTATCAGTAATCTCTTGCCATTTATGGAATATGAAGTGCACACCCAACTCATGAATAAACTTAAGCTGAGAGGAATGAATGCTCTGTTTGGACTGAGAATTCAGATCACCGTGGGTGAAAATATGCTAATGGGATTGGCAGTAAGTACAGTTTTAATCTCTGGATTCTTTTGCTTTCTTACAGTATTTTTTCAGGACAGAAAGACATACAAGTGTTGTAGGTTTCAGGGTAAACAGAGACATTAAAATGTCATTTTAAGAATAAATGAAGTGGTGGAAAGCAATGCGATGTCTAACTGTTGACAAATCAGGCCAGACTGTCTTTCAGCACCAGAAAAAGATTTTAATATCTTGAAACTGTGTTCGAGGACAAGACTATTAGAAAGGGGATGAGAGGAAAACAAATGGTTTAATGGCCATAGAAAAAGGATTGTATTCTTTAAAGGTCCTGAAGAGATCCTCAAGTTGCATTCCAGTCCTATCACAAGTAAGGTCAATGAAGTCTCTCAATAAATCTTTTGGCTAGTTGACAACAAAAGAAAAGTCTCTTGCTTCTTCTTTCATGGCACTGAAGAAATAAATGATAGATTGGAAATGTCTTAGAGATAGTCAAGAAATGTTCACTAACTGCTTTCTAACCTAATTCTGTCATGTAGGGTTAGAATAGTGAAGTATGCTGCTTCTTCCTGCATCAGTGTAAGAGGATGCTTGGGTAATACTGACTGGATTGCATGTTCTTTTGACTGAACTGATTATCTGTTTTCTGTAAATAGAAATAGGATTGTCACAAAGTCAGTGATACTGTAAATGGTTTGGCCAAGTTTTAAATCCTTGAAATCACTTGCCTGTGCAAAATGTACTAGGGCAGAGGTTTGAATTCATACTTTGTTTGGAACTTCTAGGTAAGTTAAGAGCTCCACCATGGAAAAGACCCATGAAAAGGATAGAGTTTATTAAAAAAAACAGTGGATTTTTTTCATGAGTGAACAGGAGAGAGAGATCCATTTATTATGGGAAGAGATCATGCTGTGTGCGCATGTCAGAATGCTTATAGCATAAGCATTATGGAGAACTTTATATGAAAATGTTAGAAGTACATGCTTATGTAATGGTAATTTTTCTTAATGACTTTTTAAAAGTCTGCAACAGGTGTGTATCTAGCAGCTTTGCCAACACCTGGTGGTATTCAGATTGCTGGGAAGACTCCAAATGATGGCACCTATGAGCAGCATATATCTCACATGCAAAAGAAAATAAATGATACCATAGCAAAAAACAAGGAACTTTATGAGATTAATCCTCCAGTAAGTAAAGTTTTATATTCTCAAGCAATTCTGAGTCAAACAGATATACACCATGTATATCCATGAATTCTTACTCTCATTCAGAACATAAATTGTTTTTAACAGAGATTTTAATAGATTCTTTTCACAGTATTTTGGGAACCTACTGGAATTTTCAGATTTCTTAAGCCACATAGCCAAATCAGTTTGTACTTATTTAGATTTATTTCTCAGTAAAATTATTTTCAGAATGTTCTGATCCTTAGAACTGTTAACAAATAGCTTACAATTGAATTTTTTTCTAAGTTACATAGAACAACTGTTAATTTTTATATCCTTTTAAGGAGCTACCTGAAGAAATCATTGGGTCTCCCATTCCAGAGCCAAGACAACGTTCCAGGTTATTAAGATCTCAGTCAGAAAGCTCTGATGAAGTTACAGAGTTGGATCTTTCACATGGGAAAAAGGATGCTTTTGTCTTGGAGGTGATAAATGTTTTCAATACTCATTTTCATACTTCTCTTTTCCTGAGATATATATAAAAAACTAGATAAAAGTTTTCTTACTCATCTCTAAAGACAGTTATTAAATTGTATATAAGTTTTTCCATTTTATATCAGTAGAAAATGTTACGTATTGGATTTTACATTGTCTGTCTTTTTTCTTATTTTGTTTGCTTCAAGCATAGCTATATTATGCCTGATACTTTTCAGAGTTGAAGAATTTGCAGGTTCAGAGAATACCTTCCAATTCTTTCTACAGCTACAATTAGAAACAAGAACAACACCTATAGATATAGAACATGGATTTCTTTTACCTCTCACTAAAATTCAAAGATGTGATTTTAACATTGTACAATTTTGAAGGAAAGGACCCAAGCACTAAGGAAGGCTAGAGTTTTGATCGTCTTCTTGTCGATACAGGTATTAAAAATACCTGGTCGAGACTAAGAAGAAAACAATGTAATTAAATTAGAACCTGTAATTGTAGCCTAAGGTACATTCAAGACTTTTCTGTATATTAATCTTCACAAATCATTGTCTTCATAGAAAATAATCTGGAAGAAATGTTGTAGATAGGGAGAATGAGAGAGCACTGTAACAGTAATTCATTTGAAAACAGACATAAGAAAGGAGAGTGAAAAAATAACAGATTAGAGGAGGTTCATATATTACATTGAGATTGGGTTGGTGCTTCTCCTCTTTGAGTAAATCTTTGTTCTCTAGTACATTACAGGTACACTAGGATGAAAGCAAGTAAATTTGGAAGTCCCTAAAAGTAACTTTGATGCTAGTTAACTCTCACATTATAAAGAAATTAGGACAGTTTTAATCAAGTATTTTTTGCAGCTGGTCTTAACAGGTTTTTTGTTTTGTTTTAATATCATCATCTGTGTAGACAGAATTGGAATGGTATCCTCAAAACAAAAGTTACGATAGATTCTCTCTCAGGCACTGTGTTGAAATGGATGACCCAATCAGAAAATGCTTTCATAAATGCAAAAAGGGTTGAATGCCTTTTAAAAAACATAGAGGATTGTGTAAGGCATAAAAAAGATCAACCCAAATACTGTTATACTGTAAGAGACCCTTTGGACAAGTTATGAAAAAATACTGGAAAAACATAAACCCTGCCTCCATTTCACTTCTAAAAGCTGTCAAACAGAAGAGAGAGAGCAATGATAAAATCTGTACATCATCTTCTTTGTGAGGCAACTGCACGGTTTGATATGTTATAAGCAAAGATCAGCTTGTTAAGGACTACATTATATACTGCAAGCAGAGTTCAGATCCTTTTTGCAGTTTTGGAGAATTCCTTTTGCCTTATTTATTAACTGTACTATGTGCATTTGGGGGAGCATAGTAGATCTCCATATGGAAGGGAAAAATATAAGTACACCGTAGCATACCATAGAGTACATTATAAATGGTGCTAAAGTTAGCAAGAAAAAAGGGATCTGATGTTTAAGGACCGTCATTTACTTGTTTACATTATATGAATGTGTTGGTCCTAGAATTGGTGTCCCTGTGTTTTGGTAGTTCAATCTTTATTGATAGAAAGAAAGACTTTTTGTCTGTGGAACCACTTACTACTGTCTTTTGTTAAGAAACAATATTCCAGGAGCTTTAGTGAAGTTCCTGACTCCAGCTTTTCAAGAGTAAAATCATTGTTTACTGGAAATATGTAAGAAAAAGTGGTAAAAAATTCACTGTGATGAGGAAGTGCTAAGAGATGCTGGGAAGGCAATTATGAGAAGTAAGGCTGTCTGTATCTTTTTTTTTTTTTTTTTTGAGGAAAAAACCAGACACTTCTCTTACCTTGAGAGGGAGAAGGAGAAGAAGAAACAGTACCTGACAGAGAACCCTTTAATACTGGAGTTAAAATAAAAGCAAATTCCAAAATACTTGATAAGAAAATGTTGGAAGTTAGATGTAAACTTTGATCTTTTGCAGATGAGTAAAGCAGAATGAACCTAAAGACAGATGACACAGAAATATTTACAGAAGGTGGCAGGGCAGATACACTCTCAGTCTGATCTAAAATAACAAAAGTCTTTAAAGATTGAATGGAGTAGAGGTTATTTGGATAGGAAAAACTATTCCCCCCAAAATAATCCCCAAATTTACCTTTTCCTGTTTGATTTTCTGCTGTTCATACTAAAGCGAGGTTTTTAAAGTCGAGGAAAGATTTTTATGTGTCATTGAATAGGCAGAGAATAATCACATCAGTGTAATTCAGACCTTATAAGAGCACTTAGCAGCCAAAGGTCCTTAGCTGGAAAAAGTTGTAGGTTGTTGTGTCGAACCTTGTTCAGCATTTAAAATTGTTTCAGAAATTCTCTTTTTATCATTCTTATCGCCTGCAGTTGCTGTGTGTTCTATGCACATTGCTTTATTTTTAATAAAATTTAATTAAGTGAACTATTTTTCAAGTGCTAAGCATATCATAGGCTGATAGTTAAGGTTCAGATGTCTGGTTGATGGAATCCTTTTGTAAAATCTCAATTTAGCTCCCACATACAGATCTCTTGATGACAAAGTTTTTACATCTTTCTGAGACTTGTGACTGGAACAGCAACATGATTTTTATCAATTATTCCTTTTTCCAGATTGATGATACAGATGCAATGGAGGACGTGCATTCTTTACTGACAGATGTTCCACCACCTTCTGGTATAGTTAAAAACAATTTTCTGATTTATGCTGTAGGCTGCAAAATGACAAAATAGAACTGCTTTTATTTAAAAAAAAGAAAAAAAAGGAAGAGTAACAGTGAAAATACTCTTGAAGTGTTTAGTTTGTCATACATACCTATAGAAAAACAACTCATTAAGCCTTTCCTGGGGATTGTTGCTTATTGAAAACTGAAGTAAACACAGCATTTCTGTGGCATTTTATAGTTCACTGATTGGTACTATTGTTGCAAATTTGATGTTTGGGTGTATGGGTGTAACAGTTGGATCTTTTCTACTAATCTTACTTGACTCTTCAACAAGATTTCTGCTTTTTGGCATTCTGAAAGAAAATCTATTAATATCTGTATCTTCCTCAAGCTGATACACAATTTCTTTTTGAGCTTATTTTGTGCATTTACATAGGTCTACCAGATTTTTCTTGTGCTTATTTAGCTGTATCTTCAGATTTTCAACATTGCCTGTTTGCTGTTCGTAACTTTTCTTACCCTGCTGTTTAGTCATATACTTTTTTTTGTGTCTTTTCAAGTCTCTTGTTAGTAAGTGCTATGTATTTGCACTCAGTTTTTACGTAGTATCTTTAAAGCACCTCTATGCTATCTGTCAAAGGTTAGCTTTTTAGCTTTTCTTACCACACCTGTTTAAATTTCCTCAATTGTATGTATCTTGTGTGTTAGAAATTAGGTAGAGCAATAGTGCATTTTGGGTGTTTTCCCATCCTACAAGAATGCTGAAGTATAACTTGATCAGAGCTAAAGAATTCTTTATATGCTTTTGCTTGCTCAGGACCAGCAACTGTCACTGTTGCATTTCATGCCACTGTAACCTCTTTCATGTTCCTCAACATGATGACGTATCTGGCCTCACTTTTTGGTGGTTGCAGAAATACTCAGAATAAGAATTCTGTAGTGAATTAGTGTTTTAGAAGTGGCAAGTTCCATCTTTCCTATCCATTTTTTCACGGCAGTGTGAATAACAGAAAGAAGGTTTTTCTTTAGTGTGTTGTATTGTATTCTACAGATGCTACGTTTGTTTTTGAATGTTGATCTTATTTCTGTTATATTATTCAATATTCAAAAACAGATGAAGGAAGATACTTGCAAAACATCAAGTAAGGTCACATGTGTTTCTTTAAAAGTATTTTTATGTTTCAGTGTGCAACATAGATTTCCCCAAATGTTTTCTTTACAGGTTTTTACAGTTGCAACACAGAAATTATGCCTGGTATAAACAACTGGACACCAGAAATTCAGGTAAGGATATTCAAAGAAAATTAAAACTTTTTTCCAAATTGAGTTGAAATGTGCTGTAGTAATTTAAATATATATTAGAGATCACTAATTCTGAAAGACAGATTAAAAGGATACTCTTGTGTTAGAAATAAAAGTAGTATTTTGGTAAGAAAAATAGGGTATGAGAACCTCTTTCTTTGTGTTTTTTTTTTTCAGTCCTATTATGTAAGAGAGAACCTGGTACAAAAATACAAAAATTAGAAAATAATGGCAGTACCTATGAACTTCAAGGGTTTGGGCATATTTAAAAGCTTGTCTAGATTTTGAAGCCTCCTAAAAGCAATAAATTGTTGACTGTGTTACTTAGCATGAGATACTGAATATAACAACATTAATAGGCTAAGATAAATAAGAATTAGGTAAAGCTAATCCAGTGAGTAGAGAAAAATTCAATTTATAATTAAGTTTAAACATTTTGGTCATCTTTATACAACACAGTTCAGTTTCTCAGAGAGTTAAAACAGATCTATTTAAGTGAGCTTTTACACCTAATGGGTGCAATGGAAGATTCTGCTTTGCAGAGGCACAGCTCAAACCTGAAAACAATATGACTGTACCAGCAGCATACTCTCAGATTGATGGGATTGCCTGTGTACCTGTATATGACATTCCATTATTGTCTACATTATTGTACACAATTAATGTAATTTTCAACAGCAGTTAACAAAATATGTAGCAGTTAGTGACTCCTTTATGAAGCAAGTGAAAAGAACATAGAATATTTCATATCTTGCCTAATCACTTGTTGCATATATTCATATACAGTAAATTTTGTGAAAATTCAGGAGCCATAAGCACTTGACTTACTGTTGCTACAGTTTTCTCCTGTTCTGTCCATCCCTTCTCACTGCCAAGCCCACTCCATGTTATGCATTATTTGCTGCCTTTATGAATTTATTTTTGGTATTAATATAGCATACAGGCATATATTGGAAAAAAATAAGTGTTTTTATTTCTAATTCAGATGTTCACAGCAGTAAGAGTATCCAGATTAAGCAACATTAACCTAACAAATCAAACACTTAATAAGAACTTTAATGATCTCTGTGAGAATCTGTTGAAGGTAAGAACCTTATTTCAAATATTTTTTGAATAGTTTAAATTGAAGTGAAGTAAAATCAGACTGTACTGAAAATAACATTTTCTTCATAGTTACTTTTCAGAATTAGACTACAAAGTGTCTGTAATTAGTTTCTAAGCTGCTTTAAGGATAGATTCAGCCTTCATAGTATATTATTTCCAAACTTTTTTGAATCTGAATGAGTCCTTTGACTAATGTACTCTAGAAGCAGAACTATAAGGACCGCTACACAGTAATTCTGCATTCTATTCTGACTTTTCACACCTGTAATTCTTCTTCAAGAAAAAAATAATATGATTAGATAATTTCTACTCTGGAAGAGTTTTGATCTTTCTCTGAAATAAACCGTACATTTTTTAAAGTAACGTAAGTGATGTCTTGTCTTCACCAGAGCTTGTATTTTAAACTACGATCTATGGTTCCCTGCTGCCTTTGTCATGTAAATTTTACAGTTGCTCTACCAGAGGATGAATTAGTTCAGGTAAGTAAACTGCTGCTTTTGACTTCCAGCACGTAGGCATGCCAGTTTTGACCTTTAATTAACATTTGCTGCTCACAGTAAACTAGGCTAAGATTTGATTTACTAGTATGTCTGGTGAATTCTGAAGTAAAACTTAAGGTCGTAATGTTCGGTGAAGAAAAAGGATGACCTATTGAATTCAGCAGTTTTGAGAATTAGGGGACTACATGGCATTTCATGAGCACAGTGCACCTTAATAATGTGTATCTTTTTAGTTAGATAGGAAAAGAAAAGCCTTGACTAGATATCTGTTAAAAGATGTTACCACATACACTACAAGAATATGGCACACTAGTTCTCTTAAGTGTGCTGTCATTGTAATTGCCTAATTTTTTTCTTGCCATTTCAAGATGATGCGAAATACTTCATTGTTATTAATGAAATTGTTTTTCTTTAGAAGTACAGCGTCATTCTTGTGTTAAACATCTCTTTCTCTCTCTCACAAATACAATGATAATGAGTTTTTATGTTTCTTTGTTATGTCAGTTCACCAAGAAAGAAGGAAAGAACTGATGAACAAAATCATAACCATGGGACAAACACTGTCAGGTGTATGTTCTAACTACAGACCTTAGTATTAACCTTTATGCTCTACTGTGAAGGTTTTTTAATACGTCTGCCTAGGTGTTTTTTTCCCCTGTATTATTTTTCTGTGGAAAAAGCTGCTTTTTTTGCATATTTTTTTTGCACATTGCACGAGAGATTAAGTTACCCAGTATGCCATATATATATTTCTGATTTGCAGATTGCAGTCACAGCTGTTGCAATTACATTTGACAAAAACCAAGAATTACAAGCCAACAAAGCCCCTGCAGAAAAATCAGAGCAAAGAGGTAAATGTTGTGAGGCATGTGAAGATAAGAAAGAATATTTTTCTTACCTTTTTTTTTCCCTCAGTACCTAATGAGTCTGCCTTTTAATTTCAGTTACATACGCACATTTTTACAGGGGAGTTTTATAAAATCGTAAAGTCATAACGTAGAGTTTTTTTAGAGTTCATATATGTGACCTTCAGCAGAATTACTTACTTGTCAAGTATTAGGTATTTGCTTTACATAATCAACAAACCTTATAGTAACATGAAAAAAAAGTTTGATATTTCCTTATTCCATGTGCCATCTTTATTTCAATATTTTTCGCTAAATAATTAGTGTAACAGATGACAACATTTCCGTTATATTTTGAAACACGTGGTATATAAGTCATTAGAGAATACTTGTTCATATAAGTAGCAAATTTTGTCCTTAACTTCAAGAAGGCAGAGCATAAATTATTCATAATGTTTAAAAAAAAAAAAAACCTCCAAGAACCCCTTAAGTAGGTCAGTAATATTTTTGGAGACCAGTGAAGCATATAGCATTATGGAGGGAATAGAAGATACTACTGCAATCTGTGTATGTCATCTTGCTAATGAGGCACCATCTTATGCTAGAAATGTACGTATGCAGTCTGGATATGGGTATTTAGACACAGCTTTGAAGTTACTCCATTCTGAAAAATGGAATTAGGTAGTAGAACAGAGCCCTATGTTTCCAAAATATTAGCTATACTTCTTCAATAATGAGAGTAAATTGTTTGTTTTCTTTTATGTGAAGTAAATCAGATGTTAGTTTTTACTGTAATGTATAGCTAGCTCAGATCCAACGGTAGAATCAAATCTAAAATGTGTGAATTGACTTAATATTTTTTCCTGAAAATACTAAATCAAATCCTGTTCAATGGAGCCCAGGTTCTGTTCAATTTTGCAGCTGGATTTACTGTCAGCCACCTAACTGTTATACAGAACTACTTCACTATATGAGTATGTTGAAAAAAATCTGTTCTAGTCAGACCTGACTAAATTGAATCTGTAGTGCTTATTATTACTGGCAAATCTTATTTTGGGGGTTAGTTATCAATTGGGTGTGTTTTCTTTGTTGAAGCATCTACAGACAATGAAGAACAGCTACAATTTCCATTGGAACTTTCCTCTGATCCCCTTGCTTCTCAGCCATTCTCACCAGCTAAAGGTCAGTTAAATGAAACAATGCTCAACTATTGGTTTTTACTGATTTTGAGTTCTGTTCTTTCATTGTTGCAGTAGCTTTAAAATATCTGTACTTTCACATGCTTTAAATATTCTTCGCTACCTAAGCATAGTGGATGTGTTCACTCATAAAGTCAATTTTTTTGAATCACATAAGATGGGCTGGCTAATTCTTCTATATATGTTCTTCTGTAGATTTCCTGTAGTTCTTCTATCTTTGCATTTAGAGAATTCAAAATGATGCAAACCGCTGGGTGTTGGATGTCATTTCACTTAAAGAATTATAATTACTTAACAGTTAGGCTTGCCTCATACTGCTTTGCTTCTGTTAAACGGTCCATATAAAATAACTCCATGTATTGTCAACCTCAAATAATTAATCTCATAGTTTTCATGGTGGGAAATACTTTATCTGGCCAATACACTTTGTTCAGCTGAGCAAAATTGCATGCAACTTTTTTTAGGTGAAAGGAATCCAAACTTGCATAGTAAACAATTTGTACAGTGCAGCACATTTTAGCTGTTAAACGACTGTTTTATTTTACTTTAGAGCTGCATTTCAAGAATGGTCGTCACAATTCTTCTATAATTGCATTAAAAATTAGGTAGTCATTCATTGAAATCAGCTGTCTATACTTCCTTCTCCATTGTTGGATTATCTGCCCACCAAAATGGCTAGTGATAGGAAATTTAGTATCTGTGAATTATTGTAAATGTTCTTTTACTAAAATGCTAAGGAGCTCTGTTTTTTGCCCATTGCATAAGTTGTATAAAGGAAGGCACCTACCACATTTGCTTGTATTTTCAGAGGTCAGTTTAATTTCAGCAATAATATTCTTATTGCTTTGTAGTTTTTTATTTTTATGTATTTGTGTGCTTAACTTTTAATTGGTCACATTATGATACTGTTAAAATTCCATTTTCAAAAAGAGGAGCTATCCAGAAATTTCCAACTGGTGTCTTTTTCACTGTTACTAGGCTGTGCTACTTGTTTAATGGGCACTGACCAGTAGAGGGTAGCCTGTTCACATATATCACTTTTCCTGATAGTCTTTACATACCATATTGTACTATACATCACTTTAGAGACTTGCAATTAGATAATTATTTTATCTGGCATTTCTTCACATGTAGACTCAGGGTTTCACTGTGGTTATATTTACTTAGCAGCTTACTTAATGTATCGAAACCTTTTTAACATACTTTTCTGTAAGATTGTTATTTTAAAAATGTTTGTATATGAACTTGTACAAAGGTAATTACCTTTAGTAAATGATCATATTATAATTTGCAAGACAGGTTTAGTAAAGTTAATTACTTATACCAATTTATTATGTGCTGTCAAAGTACATAGTATAGTGTATGTAGAAGGCTTTTTTTCTCATTTTACTCTAAAAAAATTTTTATAAGAAGGTGGCAGTTGTCCTGTATTACATGACTCTGCTCATGTATTATCTGAATGGAATTAATTTTGTTTTATTAGAAGTCCTGGAGGGTGCAAGTTCCCACACAGTTTTTTGCTCAGAGAGGTGAGTTTTCTTAATTTAGCCATATGCCAGAACAGAATGAGCATTCTTGGGATATTGGTATACTCTTTTTGGATGTGTTCTAATCCAGGAAGTGTTTACTAGTTAACTGAGAATGCATGCTCTGGTGTGGCTTGATGATATAATACTTTGATGTGTTTTTTAATTACAGAAGTAAGATTTAATAATAAGTGTGCCTCTGTCAGATATATTGATATCACTTTATCTGACAGAAAATTAGTTCCCTGAGAGAGAGCTTTTTTGCTTGTCTTAATTTGAAGTTAGCATGTGTTACCTCTGTTTCTTCAGGATAATGAAGAAACGGTGTTTGGAAAACTTTTTTTTTTTAAAGATATGCAAGCACCCCTGCAACTAATACCAAAAGTCATAGCAGAAACAACTCTACTTCTCATTGTAATGATAATGGGGGAGGGGGTACTAGAAGGGGGGATGTTAGGGGAAGGAGGACAGCATTTTGTAAGGAAAATTGATTTGTGTTTAAAACAGAGGTGTTGTTTCAGCTTGTGACTCTTATCACCAAAGCTTTTTTTCAGTTTGTAGGTTAGATATTGATAGTTAGGAAGTTTAAATCATGATCAGCAGCTCTTTGTGAGGAAAAGAATTGAAAATTAAAATTAAACAAGGCTTAAATAAACTTAAAGAAGCCAGAACTTAATAGCTAAAATGAGATTAAAAGAAATAATCTATCATAAGTCATTAATGACTGTATTTGCATGTTTTTTCAGTGATGAAGTCCCAGTCAGGCAGTTGGTTCACAGCTGGGACATCACCAGAAATCGGTACACTGGTTTGGACAAGTCCAAACCTATTCTGTAACTCTTCCGTTAAACAGACCTGGAAAGGGATGTTTGTTCTCTCTCAGACACAGATAATTGCTTCCTCAAGAGGAGCATTGAGATGAGCAAGAGACATCATCCATATTTTTTTCTTTGTTTTTTCTTTTGTTTTTCTGTCTGTGTTTTCAGCAACGTCAGTTGATTACAGTTCCTTTGCAGACAGATGCAACAGCTGGATAGAGCTCATTAAACTGAAAGCTCAGACCATAAGGCGCGGATCAATTAAGACAAGTAGGCGGCTATTTCTACCACGTTATGATAATCTGAGACATATCTCTGATTTCCCAGTGGTGAATAGTGGAGTTTCCTGCCCAGCAATAGTATTACAGATCACATGTAGAATGAATAACTGAGTGTGAAAACTGCCGACATTGTTAATGCCTTTGTAAGCTAATATAGGGTTTATGAACCAGTATCATAAAAAGCAAAATACAGTATTTCTGTTCGCTTAGTAAAAATCAGTTATCAATAAATGTGTACGCCTACTAATTATATAACATACACTGCATGGGTGTAGGTGTATGTATGATCTTGGAAAATTTTTGGTGAGAAACAGGAAGCAATCACCAAGGTGACAGTCAAGGCAATGGTCACTAAATTAGCAAGTGGTGAGTTATTTTTCAGTAGTTCTTTGGCCACAGGTCTGACTATCTTGCTTAAATTAGCAGAGATTAATATCTGTTTTAATGGAAAATGCTGCACTGGGGAAACACAACAACTTTCACACTTCCTATAATTTGTTCCTCCAACAGAAAATGTGTTTCAAAATGTTGGCACTTTTTTCTTTACCTTCACTTTATAACTGATTGTTGTATGTGCAGCTACTCGCCTCAATGTTTTC